GAAGGTCGGCATGTCCCCCGAAAAGCGGAAATGATAGTATGAGTGAACAGCACCGTTAGCGTGTAATCCGCTCGTGAAAAGCATGCCAGCTGCTTGCCGTGCACAGACAGATAAGACCCGGGAAACTGCACCTGGCTGGCACAGAATCCCTGTTGCTGAGATCGTCCTCTAACTCCAAGGGATACTTACAGCAGACTGCAAATGTTTGATTATGGCACTGTGGCTGTAGGGGTTCCAGTGGTCCGCTCTCCTAAACCTGCAGCTACAACTAGAAATCGAAATGGAGTGTTAATCTCATTAATTAAATTGCTGTCAAAAATGTTTTTTTTAATGAAGGCTTTAATTACTTAATGTTATAGAAGTTGAGCAATGTGCATTATTATTATTATTATTATTATTATTGTTATTATTATTATAGAATTGAAATAAAACATGTTAATGAAAATATGATTAGAAAAAAAACGCAAGATATTAACAATGCCCTTTTGTTTTTAAAAAGAATATTATTGGTCACATAAAGGATTTTTTTTTCAAAGAATTTTCGCATGTAGTTAAATGTTGATACATTATTATTTAATAGAATTTTCTTATTTCCTTTTTTTAATTTTATTTAAAAACAAATGTTGAAAATATGATGAGAAAAAAATAGCACTGCAAGATATTATCCATAAACTTGTTTTTCAAGGAAGAAAAGTCTAGAAAGACAAAAAAAAGCCATTTTGCACTCATCCTCTAAAACATTATTTTTGTAAATTAAACAAAAAATTGGTGCCAACTAAAATGACTTGATGACTAACATTAATGGCATGCCAAAATATTGACTACATTTAAAGACATCCAACTATGACTAAAACAAAAAACAGCAAAAATAAGTTTATGTTGTGTAGTGCACAACACAAATTACATTCCTGGTACTTGGTTCCCATTAACAATGTTTGCACAATCACCACCTGCATTGATGTGAGTCATTCTCACCTGGTTTTATCGCCAAAAAAAATCCCTAAATTGTTGCCTGTCAGTCTCTCCTCCTTGCAGTTACAGCTCAAAACAGTGTCCTGTATTGCACATTGTGACAATTACCGTGGAATATGGCTTAGATATAAGCCTCATCGTTCTTGTTTGAGAATAAAAATAAAGCCCCCAGTCACTTCTATGTGAGGCATTTCGGAATCTGTTGCAAATTGCTTCAGATTCAAGCCCCTCAGTCTAGCAGGTCAGGTCGGATTGCAGAGTGAGGTCCCGGGGAGCGTTACCAGCTACACCGTGCCAACAGATGAATTAGTTTAGCCCTCGCACCTCACAAACAAGATGTCACTGCTCTTTGTGTCTGCAGGCAGGTCCAATCACAGGTAAATAAACCCAGTCACTCCCACCTGTACCACACCGGCAGCTTTTATTAAGAGACAGAGGGGCATGTCAGTTAAGACCAGCAGCTGCATGTGTAAACTGGTCGAATAAAACAAACACAAGGAAGATTGAAAAGCTGGTCGGGAGAGGCGAGAGAAGTGAGATGGAAAGAGACTGGCTGGAAGAGTATTTACATGTTATTGTGGACTAGCATTGAGCTCCCTGTGATTGGATATTTAAAACTCAATCCACATACACTCCAAACAAAGCAGGTGCTTGAATAAGGACTGTGTGATAATCATCATGCAACATCTTTCTTGTGAGATTAGCTTGTCAAGTCTTTGCTAGAATGTTCAAATACATCCTGAGCCTAGACGCATTGCGACACATTTAAATTGCTTGACTGGGGTGCTTAAATGTCCTGATTATTGACTGAAAGCTCCTTGGATTTTGGTTACATGCAGAGCAATTCATGACTTTCGATTTTGATGTTTCATCCTTTTCCATACTTGTCAAAAACATGAGAAAATGGGAAGCAATATTCATTATCTTCGTGCTTTTTCATGCAGATTGTGTTTTTCGGATACCTGCAGACATGATAATGCAATTTGTTAGGTCACCCCCTCCCTTCTGCTTTCATGTGCGGTTGGCATCCCCTCCTAGAGCTCTTTTGCCATCTAGTGTTTTGGCTGTTAGGCACAGGTCTTATTTTAGGGAATATCTATAGTTGGTGGTGACAAAAATATGCTGGTTTGTGGTACCGAGGAATTTCCAAATGCTCACCTTTGTCTCAGCTGACAATTTGCATGCAATCATAAATGGCAATCCTTCAAACCATTGAGAATATCAAAGGCTTTTTCTTCACCGAGAAGAGCTCTAAACTTAAAGAGACACTACAGATGACAAGATTTTCCGTGCTTTTTCATGCAAATCAACTGACTAAAATGAAAGTTATCTAATGAGATGTTTTCCTTCACTCTCCTATTTTAATTTGGCCTGCAATGCATCAAGCCGGTTTCATAACTGTCAAAACCCAGAGCTGTAGAGAAAATATGTCGAAGCAAATTGGCACACTGTAGAGTGTGAAGCTCTCCCACTGTTTCTCTCTCTCTTGCTCTCTTCTTCCAGCCTTCCCTATTTCTTCTTCCCCACTTCTTGTTTTTTCATTTTCTCACTCTGTCTAATTTAAGCACCAGCTAAGCGTAATATTGGTAATGCCTTCTTAATCTACAGCTGGCATTGAATTTGATGAAACACTTTTAACACATTAGTATTTTCTAAGGAGCTCAAGCTTTCTGATTGGCATCCAAAATGTGCAATTTACAGGCCTTTTAATCCATTAACTTTGAGGAACCTTTTTTTAAGAGCTTTTTGTTTTCTTGGCACAGTTACAGTGCTTTATTTCAAAGAAATACAGTGGAAGATACAATTTAGATGATTTAGAATTCTATGAGTAATTAAGAAAGTGTTTTATTTTGTAAAGAGCTTGAGAGTGGGTAGGATGACTTGAGGGCCGGTTTGCTCCCATCACATCCCAAAAGGTCAGCTGCATAACTATTTGCACTTCTCCTGCAGACCAGAACCCATTTAGATATTGAATATGAAAGAAAGAACTGCTCTGATTATCCCCAAATAAATTAAATCTTAAATTAAATAAGTAAAATTTGCAACTGGATCTCAAAGCAAATCTCAAGCAAAACTTGGTTTGGTAGGACTGATTGATATGTTTGCATTTTTCAAAGTACTTTTGTTGCTTTATTATTAAGTGTACTACGGGGTGCTGCATTTTCATTTCCTCGTGTGTCTCTTATGCAAAATGTTGGGCTAAACGTGGCCTATCTGATATTGCGAAAGGCTGAAGGAATAATGGGTTCTCACACTGCATTTTCTTTTCACACTGTTGGCTCATAAAATCTCTGTGGTTTGTTATTTGTGTGTGTGTGTGTGTGTGTGTGTGTGTGTGTGTGTGTGCGTGTGCGTGGGTGTGTGTGTGTGCGCGCGCGCGTGTTTTGGAGAGAGAGAGAGAGAGAGAGAGAGAGAGAGAGAGAGCAAGCAAGCAAGCAAGCAGGCGGGAAACTCAAGCCCTGGAGGTGTACAATTTATGTAATCTACGGCTTGGAAATGAATTGGGTAATTTATTGGAAAACAGAAAGTCAAGAAGATTGGATCAGTATAGTTCAACCAAGGGCTTCTATTCATCCATGTGTGTGTGTGTGTGTGTGTGTGTGTGTGTGTGTGTGTGCGTGTGCGTGTGTGTGTGTGCGCGCGCTCGTGTTTAAAACCTCGAGTGTGTGTGTGTTTTATTAAAGTGTGCTGCAGTGAAAGGGTATTCCCTAATTGGCTGTTGAGCTTGCTGATAGCTTTTGTGTGTGTGGAGGTCTGCAGAGTAAGCAACTGTTAGTTCATATACTTTTGGGATGGGCTTAAAATAGAAGCAAAGCTTTACTCAATAGAGTTTCATTTTAGGCTCAAATGATGATTTAGTGTCTGAAGTTTTATTATCTAATTTTATCTAACTGAATTCATTAATCAGCATATTTTGCAATTTGCATATTTATTTGTATTTAAGTATGTAATTAATTATTTAAATAATATAATTCAAAACCATTTATAGTGGTATTTTAATATTATATTTAAATTTATTCTCAGATAAGCTTAAAATAGAAGCAAAGCTTTATAGAACAAATGCACAGGTTCATTTTATGCTCGAATGATGATTCAGTGTTTGAAATGGGGCTAAGAGAGCAAATATTGATATGCAATTTAATTATTCAGTATTGCATATTATTTTTAGAATAAGAGTTTAATATATTTTATATACAATTAATTTTAATTCAATAGAGTTCTGAAGATATTCAATTCATTAGGGATGGGCTTAAATAGAAGCAAGGCTTTACAGAATAAATAGACAGTTTAATTTCATGCTCAAATGATGATTCATTGTTTTGATAGAGCAGATATTTATATGCAATTTAATGTGATTTTAATATTCAGAATGTTTTTAATATAATTTTTTTAATATAATAATTATTCAATTATTTAAATATTTTATTTTATGATGACATTATTAATTAATGTATTATTATTAAAATTATTTATTAATAAAAATGTATTATTTATATTATTATCATATGTGTCACGTTCGCTACTGTGAGGGAGCGCGGAGCGAGGAACGAGGAGACGAGGAGTACATCAACAAGGAGATTTTAGTGATATCAAAGGAACCAGGAAAACACACATAGCAGGAGAGGCTGACACATACACAATACCGGACGACTAAACCAAGAACTGGACTCACTATAAATACACAGGACTAGAGGATGGGATGACGAGACACACCTGGAACTAATGAAACAATATACATAATAAGAACAGGAACAGGAAGAACCAAATAAGGGCATAAGAAAACACATGGGAAAAACCAGGTCATGGAACACGTGGGGAACAAAACACGAAACAGAGTCTGACAATATTATTCATACTCAATAGTTACATCATTATTTTTGTAATATTATTTTATAAACATTTCATAAGCATAATTGTTAACCATTAATCATAACTGAAATGTTATTACATAAACAGCCCTATTCTAAAGACTGAATGATTCTTACTATAATTTTCTAATCTAAATCATGTGGAATTCTGTTTTTCAGGAAATTCTCCGTCAGATGAGTCGGAGGAGCGGGACAAAGAGCCACGCACGCTTACTTACCCAGCATACATTGCCAGCCTGCTGGACTCGGGTGCCAAGCGCATGGCGACGGGGGTGCGCATGGACTGCATCAGCCAGGGCCAGTGCCCTCTGTCCTGCCACCTCTGCCACATGAGCCCTGGGCCTGCACGTCCTGCAGAACCTGTGCTGCTCAACATCACTAAAGCCACGCCAGTCTACGAACTGGTCAACAGCAACGAGACCTACCAGGTATCTGTGACTCATAATGTTATACTCTCACCCCGCAGCTCTTGCCAGGTTCCCCACTGAAGCTAAGCAGTGATGAGCCAGGCTGGGACACCTCCTGGGGAAAACAAAGGTTGCGGGGTGGACAATGTTTTAGTGAAGCTGAAATTGGCAGGTGGTCTGTGTGAGACCTATTGCACCAGTATAGTGATGGGGACACAATACTGTGCTTTTCATTAAAAATAGCAAGATGTTAAAAAAATAAAAAAATAAAAAATTATAATAATAAAATAAAAAATTATAAATATAATAGAAATACAATAAAATAAAATAATAAAATATTTTTTTTGTTTCATTTGAATGAAAATTATAATTATTTAAATATAATTACTTTAACATATATTAACAAAAAAAATAATATTTGAAATAAAAATGTATTTATAATTAAATTCTATTAAAAATAAATCACAATCCTCATCTCTAAAACATTTGTGGTCCGTACAAATATTCATCATCCAGGTAGATGCTGCACTCTAGTGGTGGTAGAGGACATTTCCCCACTTATTCTGTAAAGCTCACTGTGTGTGAATATATTGTTATATAAATGTGATTAATATAATCATTGTTTATAATTATTATTATTATTATTATAACATGCTCTGCATTTTGTCTTTTCATGTAGGCTCTGCAGGAGGCTATGATGAGTGTACTGTGGTGCTCTGCTAAAGGTGATGTTATTGATGACTGGTGTCGATGTGACTCCAATGCCTTTGGCACAGATGGACTCCCGACCTGCGCTCCTCTGCCTCAACCCATGTGAGTTCAGGGAATTTATAACTTGAATATCCTCAACAAGTGAGGTTTTAAAGTAAAAGTTCTGATCTTGGTCAAACATTAAAGGGGTCATATGATGCGATTTAAATTTTTCCTTTCTCTTTGGAGTGTTACAAGCACGATGTGGGAAGATTTGCATAACGCCGCCCAAATGTTCACACAAAGAAAGAAGGCATAACTTTTATTCTCGCTGTCGTATTGTTGTTGCCGCCACTGCCATGTCGTGAAGGCGCTGTGTGTTTCGTTGTGAAAGCGAAACTACTTTGTTTGGCCTTCTAAAAGAGGACGATATCCGCTTCATCATGCCTGGAGCTGATCCGTGCTGATCGCTGAGGAACAATGCAACGCGTAAAAAGACAGTATAAATCATTATAATCTGTAAGTATGTCCCCACTGGATGCACACTGGATGCATATAATGGGTTTTAATGTCTTTGTCTCGTCGCTCCGGCCGGGGCAAGGCATCACAATATGGTGGGGCGTAACATTTCCGTCACACGCTTGAGGTATTCGGCCAATCACAACGCACTGGATAGCTGGCCAATCAGAGCACACCTCGCTTTTCAGACCGATGAGCTTTGTAAAAATCAATGCGTTTCAGAAAGGCGGGGCCTAGAGGAGAAACAATAATGTACAGTATGTGGAAAATAATGTGCTTTTTGAACCTTAAACCGCATAAACACAGTTCATTACACCAAATACACAAAATAATGTTATTTTTAGCAACA